GCCCCCCTGTTTCCCGGCACGGGGGGGGGACCAGGTCCAAAGAAGACTCAGTGCACTTCCTCAACGCGGTCCTGCGCGCCGCCGGCCTGACCACCACGTTCCGGGGTTGAGAAGAACGTCGATTCTTAGTGGTCACGCCTGCCCATGCCGGGTGGCGGGCGCCACCTTCCGGGCCGCCAAGGGCATCCCTTTGGCTGTGATCCAGCTGCTGGGACGCTGGTCTTCCAGGGCCATCGAGCGCTACACGCAGGCAGCGCCTTTGGTGCTGGCGCCGGGTGCTGTGGCGCGTGCGCTGGGGTCCGCCCGGACTGGGGCGGCGCATCTGCCCAGCCCGCTCTTGGCCTATCATCGGGAGAGAGCCCGCCAAAGAAGGGTGGCCATCTCCGACGCCCAGCCGGTCGCGACAGACCGGCCCGGACACAGGAGGCTGCCCAGTGCGTCTACCTGGCCAAGACTAGGCGGGTGCACAGGCCGGACGCCCAGGAGTCCATGGCGGACAGGGCTGCCTGGAGGGCGGCTGGGTGCGGGTGGCCCTATGCTGCCGTCAGTTCTTGAGGCTCTCGGAGCCCCGCCGGAGCCGCGCGCTGTGCAAGCGCTGCTTCCCGGGCGGCGCCCAGCGCCAGGAGCCGGGGTCGCCTAGCCCGGCCTCGGTGCACGGCTCTTCCTCGAACGAAGCCCCAGACGACAGGGAGGGGCGAGAGGATGCCTCCTCCACGTCGGGGTCAGTCGACCTCCGATTCTTGACCTTAGCCCTGTGGCCTGTGACGCCGGGGTGTGCGTCAGGAAAAGGCCCAGGTAGCGGCACGAGCGCTGGAATACACAGGGGGCACTCAGGTTGTTCAGTGCTCCTTGCACGCCTGGCGCTTAGCTTCCCCCTGGCTCACTTTCCCCGCCCGCCTGCCCGCCCGGTCTCAAGCCATGCCGTCGCACATCGCCGGGCCTTCACCGTCCCCTTCGTCCAGGTGGGCGGCCCTGAGACCTTTGACGTCAAGACCAGCCTGGGGCGGTATACCATAACAACCGCACGGCGTGGGAGATGCTCCTCTCCACGTTCGCCCCGTCTGAGGACTACCTCACCTTGATCCGCCTCGCCTCCTTGCCGGACTTCGGGGCCGTGGCCCGGAACGAGGACGAGTTCCTCGCCGTCTTCCTCCAGCCCTGGATTCGGGGGTGCCGCTTGCCCGGGACGGGCTCGCTGCTCAGCTGCCCTCCCGCGGTCGCCCGGTACGACTGCTGGGCGCTGACCAAGATGTGGCAGCACGCGCGCCGGCACATCGACTGGCTCCAGGAGGACTCCCAGGCCCGGGCGGAGGCCTGGGACCGGACCTGGAGGAACGCCGCCGGGTGCTGATGTACTGGCCCCCGCCGCCGACCGAGACGGAAGGGCTGCCCTGGCGTTGGTTGGTGCGGCCGCAACCTCAGCCGGGCTGACGAGGAGGACGTCAGTGAGCTGGAGTGAGTCGGGACCCCCGCCGGGCGGGCGATACAGCCCTCGCGCCCGCCCGGGCTAACTTTCGAGCACGCCGGGGGAGCAAAAAAGTGTGGCCGTGCTGCCGCCATAAGGTTTGCCTCGGTTGGTTCTTTCGTGCGGTGCTTATTGGCCCCCCCCCCCACCCCTCGACTTGGTCATGGCCACACCTTCGTCGTCGGCGACCGCCCTCGTCGACTTCCGCACCTTGCGGCCGAGGCCGGGGCGGGGGACGTCGTGGTCAGGCATCTGGGGGCGCGCGGCCTCGCCCGCACGGCGACCCTCGCCCTGGTGTGGTCGACCCGCTTCTGGCCGGCTTCCGCGACGGCACCTCGGGGACCGAGTTCGTGGTACACGAGGGTGAGCGCCCGGCAATTCGGGCGGTCCTGCTCCACATGTACCTGGAGGCCAGGACACAGTGGGAGGCCTGGTCCGCCCAACGGGCAGCCGCGATCGGGGCGATCCCGCCCCCGGCTTCCAACGCGCCGGCCCTGCCGCCGCCTGTGGCGGCCACGGGCCCGCCGCCCAAGTCCTTCGACGCCTGAGAAGCTCCTCGACGGCAAGCCCAGGTCTTTCCCCACGAGGCGCCTGGATGCGCCTGGCAGGGGCGGACACGGTGCTGGCCAGGATTTATCATGAGCACACCGTCACCACGGCACACACGCCGCTCTTGCTCGGCGAGATCCTGGCCGCCAGGACCTGGACGTCAGGGGACGAGCTCAACCGCCGGCGGTGCCTCAGAAGGAGACCGGCTCCTGGCGGTGTTCTGGGAAACCGACAGGGCGCGCAAGGCCTTGGTGCAAAAGGCCATGCCCTTAGAACACAGGGGCGACCTCACGCGAGATTCGCCCGACAATGCGGCCGACCTGGTCCTGGACGCCGACCCCGACGCCGCCGCCCTCGTCCTGTGGTGTGCGGCGCCACCGTGCCAGGACTTCTCCCGGATCGGCCAGGGGGCCGGCCACAGCGGCGAGAGGGGCAAGCTCTTCCAGGACGCCGTGGAGTTCATGCACCAGCTCCGCGCCAGGCTGCCCAGCTAGGCACCGCTTTGGCTTCCTATATGAGAACGTCGACATGGACCAGGCGGATTTCGGACGGGCTGGGGGTCCAGCCCGTCTTCGCCTGCCCCTCTGATTTCGGCTGGGTCTCCAGGCCTCGCTGTGGTGGACCAGCGTGGACTGGACCAGGTTCCCGGCCGACCCCGATGACGGGACGCCGCTGGAGTGGGCCAAGAAGGGTAGGTGGGAACGCCTTCGCCTAGCTTCCGCCAGGCCCTCGGCGGACACCTTCGAGTTGGGCGGCTGGACGTTTCACCCGTCCGTGGCGACGGGTCGGCGCCTCATGCCATGCGCCGCCACGCCGGCACCCACACAAAAGGGGGCCGAAACCGCGGGCGACCAGCAGAGGGAAGACGTCCAAGGACACAGACGCCAGGTGGAGCGACGGTGGGCGCCAGTACGCCCCCTGGCATGACCAGCTGGAGGCTATGCTTCAGGACAGCCAGGGCGTTCTCCGCCTCCCCACGGCCGAGATCAAGGAGCAGCTGCACGGCATACGCATCGGCTACACGGCGCAGGCTGGGCCCGAAGACAGGACGCGAACTGCCCGCCCCGGACATGGAGCAGCACTGGGCCTCGGCACCCCTCGCCCGACGCCCGGCATTGGAGCCGGCCCTGGGGTCGGTCATGGACCTCCGAAGGCGGTGGCGACACGACCTCTGCCGCGTTCGCTGGGGAGGTCGTCGCGGAGCTCCTCGTGATGGTGGAGGAGCGGAAGGACGACACGCAGGCCTGCCTCCAATAAATTCCCCGCCCATGTCAGGGCGACTTATACGACCTCGGACCGTCCTCGGCCCTTCCAGGGGCCGATCTTTCTGGACCTGCTCAGCGCCCTCGGCTACCCCGCCACCCCGGACCTTGAGGAGGACCTGCGCCTGGGCTTTGACATGTTGGGCCCAGTCCGCCACGCGCCAGGATGGAAGCCGCGCTCCGACGGGCGCTACTCCAACCCCTCTGGCCTGGACCGCTTGCGGCAGGAGAACCCGGCTTACGTCGCGGCCAACAAATGCTCCAGAGGGCGCGCTGGCGTCCACACGGCCGCCCTGCTGGATGAGCTGGTCCAGGAGGCCCGCCCTGGCCGGGTCGTCGGCCCTTGCGCCGCTCCCGACCATTGGTCCGCGGCGACGGCGGCACTGCCCTGGATGGCTGATATGCGCACCCTGCGCCAACCGCCGCTGGGCGACTGCTTCGCCGCCCTCTCCTTTGCCATCTGCCAGGTCGACGAGAACGGGGACCTCAAGCTGCGCCGGGGCGAAGATTGGCGACGATCAGGCCACAACGCCACCATGCGCGCGGAGGACGTGCCCACCCACCACTTCCTGGGCGACATCGTCGACTTCGTCTTGGCCGCCTGGTGCGAGGGCTGGGACCCTAAGGTCTATGCAAATCGGGCTAAGGCGGGGTCCCCGTCCCGGAGGCCGGGTTCGTTGTAGGTTCAGGGTAAAACATATGATTTTGAGGACAAGGACTCGTCGTGTTTCGCTTTCAACGCAAATCATTGGTTCTCAGATTTGTCCATGGCTCTTGCTTCAACATCCAGAATATTGTCCCTTTTCCCGAAGCTCACATAGCAACATGTTTTTTGTGCTAGTGCAGGACTGGTTTGTAATGATTTCATCCCCAGTGATTCCATGCTTGTTGTGATTTTTATGGTTCGAAACAACATGTTACATGTGAGTCTGGAACTATGGTGTTGTGACATGTCGCAACAACTTTTTGGCATCGCTGCCCATGGATGATCTGGAGCCGGATTTTGGGCCACCCCCACAGGGCAAACCAAAGAAAAGAAAGGCTGCAGAAGGTTTGACGACTAAGAGCGGCCAAGTGCTTGTGATTTTCTCGCGACCTGAGAAAGGCCAAGAGGGCCTTGACGAGGTGCGGTTTGAAGGGTCCT